CATATACATGAATTTTTAAGGGCTTCTGTCATTAACTCCAAAAATATGCTGACCGACAGTCGAGGGCCAGAATAGAGGGGGAGATGAATGAGGTGTGACAGAAAGTAAGGAGTATTAACAAACACACCTGGCCAGTAAGGTCGGACCGGTGTTGCACGAGGGCGGCCTGCAGCTCCGTAACTGCCTGCGACAGCCGCGAAAGCTTCGCCTCAAACTCTGTCTTTTCTGCGTCAGTTAGACTACTATCCACTGGCTGCGAGCTTGATGATGCAATCTGCTGCTTGACCTCGGCCAGTTTGCTTTCGAGGGTAGCGGTGGAAACGAAGGCAGCACGTTTAGCTAGTTGGTCGACAATAACCTCAATAGCAATATCCGGAGCAGACGTTGACATGCGGCCCTCTCGCAGTTGCTTCAAATGAGAAGACAGAACCGCAACCTCCTGTTTCAGCAGGGCAACGGCTGACTCCAATAGGCTATCATTGTTAGGGGCAGGTTGAGACACGGCCGCGGTACGAGACTCGATGTCGGCTAGACGAGACTCACTTTCGCTGCGAAGACGTGCCATGGAGTTCGTGATGACCAAAGACTGTTCATCAATTCTGTCTAAGCGTCTAAATGGAAGGAAGGGAGGGAAAGGGTATGGAAGGCTTTTAATAGGTGAAAGATGGTGCTTTATGCGTAAATAAGAGCAAAAAGAAAAAGTGACCTACGCGGAGATCTCGATCAGCTTGGCTCCTACGTCAGAGTTCAAGGACTTCAGTTGAGCCTTGAGGATGCTGAAATCGTCAGAACTACCAGCAGGTGCGGTGATAGGAGATGAGACAGGATCTAGAAAAAAAAGCAGGGGACAGTCAAGGCAAGAGAACAACAAACCCAAAGAAGTAGATGTAGGAAAACAGACGGTACTCACGAGATGTCCAAGAGGGCCAATTCAAAGAAGACCACCGGGAGCGAAGTGCCGCAAAGAATATGGTAGCCCGTGAGAGGTATTCCTGCTGAAGACAGTGGAGTCGAAGGCTGGCTCTCGATCTCGCAGAGCTCTGGTCGTAGAGATTGAAAGGAAGGGCTCTGCGGCAGACGGCATCCGACGGTAGGAACCCGAGGAACCACTGGGGCTCGGACTCTGCCTCTAATTTTTCTAGTTAACACGAGAAGCAGGAAATGACCTAATTGTTGATAGACAGGTCAAGAACGTGAGTGAAAATAGGGATGGTAAAAAGCGATTGCTGTCTGATAACAAGCCGGGGCAGCATCCGGGGTGGGGACGAAGCCTTTAGGTGCCACTGGAGATCTCAAAACTTCGCGTTTAACTTGCTACACGCATCCGATATCCTAGAATGCAGAACGAAATTGGTTCTTCATGGCGAAATAAATATGCGTACCACGACACGCAGCCCTCCAGGTTTGGTATTTATTATGAGAGCGCAACTCGAATAACGTCTTTCATGCCCTAATCTAGCGTCCGTCTTCGTTCAGTGTATTTAGCACGCGGCCTGCTTAGGGGCCACGATCATATCAATAGGAGATGCCTTACACCCTATTGCGAGGAGAACTTGCAACATGCCCATCAGGCAAAACGACTGAGTGATTTTTGGTGAACTTCCCTAAACCCACAGATGCAATGTGGCTTTTCCTGATGATATGTTGCAGAATAAAATCAAGAAAAACCGGTAATGACATGAGAAGTCAGCGAGCCGAGGTTTTAAGTGCATCGCCATAGAGCCAGACTCGAACTATACAAGCAGTGGGGTAGCCACGCGCTGAAGGGACCGAACAGGAAGTATACTATTATTCGAGCATATACACAGCTGTGGCGGACAGCCACAATCCCTGTCCTCCCTTCGTTTTTTAATGCGCTCTGCCCCAAACTCACGCCTCGTAAAAAACAACTGTCCTAATGTTTTTTTTCAGTGGCGCCCCCGTTCCCAGAGGCTTCACCTCACAACCACCTCTGCTTAACTGATAACAGCTGCGCCAGCGTCCCCCGCCCTTCGGCGTTCCAACGGCCCCCACAGTTGACCTGAGTTTATTCAGTCACGTACACATGTGCACACACGCCCGCGCATACACGTGCGTCCAAATAAGCGCGCCTGCCTAAGAGCCACTAGAATAAGCCACCCCTCGGCCGATGCAGAAAAGACCTCTACAGGCGATATCCCCTCGAACATACCAATAGTAAACCACTTGAACTCACTTCACAGCTACCACCACTGCCGCATTCTCTCTCAGGTCTGGCTGGACGCAGTCAACACTAGTCAGTGGCCACCGCCACTTGAGACAGCAGTAGGGATTTCTGCACACAATAAATCACTCCTTCTGGTGACTTCTGCCTTTTACCTTCTACCTGGAGATTTGACCTGATGATTGTAGTGATCCGAGTACACCCACTATTTAGACCGCTACACAGCTACTGAGAAGAGCCCTTTACTCGAAACAGACAGAGACAGACATAGCACAAGCTATTTCTGTCAGAATCACATCGGCTACTACTGTTGCTAGCTCGACAGATTTCATACGGCTCCGCAGAATAGTGGTGGACGAGAAGAGCAGTCCAATCAGTATTCACATATTTCGTGATTTCTAAAAGCACCAAACGCACAGGGCCAACAGAGTTACTATGACAAAGTACAGAACAATAAGCAAATCTTACTAGAGTGTTTTGATGGACCCACTGGATGATTTAAAAAAAAAGTACATCCGACAAAATCAGGCACTTCTAAGGCAGTGTGAGATACGCTGGGAGGCTCGTAAACACCATCATCAGAGAGAAGTTCTCGCACACACCACAAATCTAAAATTTGAAACCACCCTCCCCCCCTTCAAAGGTGTAAAGGCAGGTAAATTGACTTACCACTAGCAGGTCGTAAAAGGAAGGCGATGAGAAGCAGTAATGCCAGCAGAAGTGGAAGCCAAAACAAGAGGCAGCAAGATCGAGAACCACAGCAGGCGGTGCCATCAACGGGCCTTCTCAACTTAGTAGCTGACGCGTCAAGTTCCGAATATGAAGTTCTTCTGAAGAGGCAAAAGCATAGGGGCGATTAGCTTCGCTAAGTAATAGAACACAGAATTCACTAGTACTTGAAACAGTAGCAACGCGGATACTGCTGTTACAGTAGTACTACTAGTATTAGTAGTAGTGTAGGCAGATGAATATTGCCAGTCTCCTCTGTATTTGTCGGCAATGTACATTATTCCTAATAATAGTAGTCAAAAAGCAGTCTTAGTGGTAGTGTTTAGTGTTGGCTGTAGTAGTCACCATAGTACTAGTAGTCGGAGTAGTTGTAGTAGTGACGTTTGTAGTATTATTATTATTAAGAATAGTGGTGGCATTTGTAGTGGTGTTAATAGTAGTAGTATTAGTTGTAGTAGTAGTAGTAGTAGTAGCAGTAACGACAATTTCTACGATGGGCAAAACTCAAAATATGCGTGTCTGTTTGCGTATTTCGCAAGGCTTACCTATGACCCGTCGTGGAACGATATGTATTAGAATATATGTTTCCTGAGGGCGGAAAACGAGAGGTTGAAAATCGAGCAGAGGACGAGGAGGCAGCAGAGGCCGGACGAAATAGATGCACAAAGGCCAGCCAGGACGACAC